ACTCACTCGGAACGACCGACCTAGATGCTTAATTCTTACATCTTAAAATATTATTGAACTGTGCTTGGTGAAATATCCACGTATTCACGTGTCCTGTGCTACAAATAAACATTGAATATGGAACTACATTTTGTTGTGTTATTGTTGTTGACGGTTGCTAAGATCTCTCACGATAGTGTCACATTTCCCCGCGAAAAACACTGTTCTCGCCACTGCGTTGCACCCGTGTATAAGCAGGAACAAACCCTGTTTATTTGTTTTATTCGTTGTTATATCGATCCACTGAAAGGATTCGTCGATGTAAATATAAGGAATTATATTTATTTTTTCAACATTTATGAGGTCATAACAACAATGGGTTTTTGGACATATTTTACATGAATCGCTAACTAGAAAGTCTCTAGGGTTATTAATATTTCCAGGGCAACACATATTGTTTAAATGTTGATATCAAAATCTGGTATATAACAGGGGACAGGTTTATTAAAGGTCTCATTTTTATATCATATTAAGCGTATTTTTTTTACAATAAATGACTTATTTTATGATGTCATACGTATCCTCATTTCCTGAATTCGATGTTTATTCCATTTGTATATGTTAATGGGAAGGCAAGTTACTTCGTACTTTTGAGAGCAAGAACATAATTTCAGCAGAGTCTTGTACATCAGTGTAAAAAGCATGACTATGCAAACTGAAGTGATCATTTGAAAATGTGGTTTGAAGATGCAGTGAGTCCAATGAAACTTATACTTTATGCATGTACTTGAACATCCACACAGTGTTTAGCGATCTACACAAGTGTCTAAGCATCACTTACATATATGTATCCCATGTGTTGTTATTACAATTGACTAGTTGTTTAACAGATTTTATTACACATTACATGTTTTGGAAACGAAATTATCTTAATACCCGAAACCTTCTCCTTCACTAAGCAAATCATCTACGAGTATCATGATCGATGGATTGTTCTCCTAGCATGACGTACCGATGGAAACTAATATGCTGTTTCGGTAATACATTGAAAGCAGCACTTTATTTTACAAGTCCACAAGAGCTTTGTTCTACATGCATAAACAATGAAATAAATATGTTAACAAATAGTTAAGCTACTGTAAACATCAGAAATACAAACCTTCTCCTTCACTAAGCAAATCAACTACGAGTATCATGATCAATGGATTGTCCTCCAAGCCCCATAGCATTGCGTACCGATGGAAACTAGTATGCTGTTTCGGTAATACATTGAAAGCAGCACTTTATTTTACAAGTCCCAAAGAGCTTTTTCTACATGCAGAAACAATGAAATAAATATGTTAACAAATAGCTACTGTAAACATCGATATTTCCCTGCTTTGTAAATACATATAAAAATGATCATGATCATTTCAGACATAAAGGCCCTATGTCGTCATGGCTCAGACTGTTATAGCCATTTTCTATATAACATAGTCACTTCTTAAATAATGTGTGATACAGTAAATTTGTAATTTGCTTATATTAGCAATTAATAGTATAAACGTATAGCGACATGAATGATTAATACATCTGTTCGCATATTACAAAGTTTCTTAAATGTTTATCATACAATGCGTTATAATCATAACAGAGAAAAACAAACACAAGTATAGTTACACTGTCACTATACATACTTCCCTACGCTACATTGTGCCAATAATCACATACTATCTTCCTACATTTTCGTCCTGTTTTATAAAATAAATATTAACAAAGGATTTTGTCAATCAGGTCTATTTCTTCCTCTTGAAATGAATGATATATTTGTTTCTATGATCCCGATATCACGTAACACATTATAAACCAAAAATTGAGTAATTGATACAGCTCCTATTCAGATTAAAGTCGATTTATTTGTTTCGTCAGGCGTTAAACTGGATAAAATTATGTATAGCCAAATCTTCGAATTCAAACCAAAACTTTATTGTAATGCTTATATACAAAATAAGTTATTTTACATTTCAGTTCCTCCTGAAATAGACAGCCTTGAGTACAACCAAGGAGACGCTGATGTGACTGAAGACGGATCCAAGACTCTCATTTGTAAGGTGGAGAGTGTCCCAAAGTCTACAATAACATGGTACTACAAAAATAATGACACAAATCTGTTTACCGCCGCAGATGTACTGGAGAGTAGCTACACCCTGACTACTGCTGGCTGTCTGGACACAGGATTGTACACATGTTCTGCAAGGAACAGTGTATCTAACACAGCAGTGACCAAGGACATAAGGATCAACGTTTTATGTATGTTGTATTTTCTTTATTGATTCGAAAACCATGAAATTAATATCTGACCGAATTGTTGACGCTATTTTTATTTTTTAGTCATTACTAATATATATACATTCTTACTAAAAAATACCCCATGTCGACATTATGTTTAAAATCAACTTTTTTTGCAGCGTTTTACCTGAGCAAAAGCGATTGCCGCCAATCTTAAGCTAGAATCACTAAAATGATCGAAAAAGTAAGCAACCGATACATGCACATAATACAAACAGCGATTTTTTTTATATTAGTTCCCATTGAATATTAGCGGCACATCCATTTTAGTTGATATAATCACAGATAATATTGTTTCTCCGTAGGTCAAATATGTTCAAAAAACGTAGGCAAGTTTTTTGTTAAAATGAGGTCTTTTTTGAAAAAAATAAAATAAAAAGCCTAATCTTTCCGTTGCTTACTGCTTCTCGTCTCCAGATTGAGAGTCATAAGACGACCTAGGCTCTAAGTCGTGACCATATATCCTGTTCGCGAACAAAGAAACTAAAGTCAGTGAAATAGTCAACGGTTGATAAAGTCGTTGAAACCATGTCGCAAGGTTAATTTTGTACTCTGAAGTGGGTTGAAAACTCAATGCACATCTATTATCCATTCAAAATCTGCAACCTTATGTTCCCGTCCAATCAAAATCGACAAACATATCTTCTCGACCATTCAGATCTCGAATGATCAGATAATTTGACCGTATCTTTCGACAAGGTGTCACATCTCACCAGGGCTCCTTTAAAAGGAAACCGGCCAAAGACATAATTGAAATCGTTTTCCCGACGTAACATATTACAACAGTACTTATTTCGAGGAAGATACTAGGAGTGTTTTCCGTGTCATGGCAATAGTATTGCAGTTTTCGGTGAATTTGCTCAAATTAATTAAATCATTTCATATGAACAAAGGAGAGGTGTTTTAAAGCAAGTGCCAAACTTTCGGTTGAAAGAGTTGTTTTCCCTACGTTTTTTTATTGTCTTCTTCAGGTTTTGTTTGCATGTTTTAAGAAAATGTCGGTGTACATTGAGATATTGAAAACAAAACAACAGCAAGAACACTTTCGATGTTTCATTAACAAGCACTCTAGAAATATTGCGAAAACGTCACTATTTGCATTATCCATACCCCTATCCATAAATACAACATTCTCCATACTTTTGAGATCAAAGGGCGATATCTGCGGTTTTCATGAGATTCAACTATAAAGAAAGTATTTTTTTATGAGGGGATCACACGAAATGACCAAGGCGCTTATTAATAACATTCTTGCTGCAATAAACATTGCAACTATGAAAATATATGACTTCAATACAGGGTTCACGCCAGCTTTAAAACATTCTTACGTTCAAACTTTCGCCAAAGTTAATTTCCTTGCGCCAAATTTGATATTAATGAGCCAAATAGTCTAACCCTTTCACCACTGTAAACCATAATGGACTTATCCATATCAATGCATGGAAGTGTTTACTAAAGTTGCATATGGGCGAAAGGGTTAAAGACATAAACAAGGCGCCGTGGTCAAACAATTCAGTTCAATACTTCCCTTTTGCTTAGATATTTTCATCACTATTACCCTTTACTCTGTTTGTTACAAAGAGCTCACACAAAGGTAAAACTTCTGTGTCTCGATTACCTTATGATCCCCTACAATATTTAGATTAAAATGTTGTGTCCCTAAATTTTCCATGTATTAGATTACAATTATCTGTGTCTTTTTACTTGATTTCAGTTTTTTCTTAAAAAAATAATCCCACCCACCCTGGGAACTATAGGATAACACAAATCTTATACAATCAAAGAAATTGATAACAGAATAATTCAGAATAAGTGTAATCACTAAAAAAAGGTCAACTGTTAAACCAAAATCAAAATCCTTAATTTCGGTCCAGATCCGCTATGACACTTACATGTGCATATATTTAGTCAGCACTTAGAACTTCTAGTTTGTCCGAAATAACGTTTTTGGGGGAGGAACAAAGAATATAGTAAAATTGTGTCCACATTAAATCATGTCGTGAAATGTTTTGACAGTCTCACTTTTTACTGTTTTGCTATTTAAGTTGTTTTATTAGCATTACGTTCTGAATAATCGCGGAGTTGATGAACATATTGGCTTAGATATAAGGATCGTTTTTCATCGAACATTATTGTTTGCTTGTATATACCAGTTAATCGTGGTTGGATTTATTGGATAACGATTCATTAGACCTCTCAATTATATCCCCATTACCCTTGGTTAGTAGTAAGGACTCCTGACCACTGATGATCACGTAGTGTTTGCTACGTACACAGTGTGCCAATAGTACCATTCATATGGGATTAGTGATTGTAACAATAGCGTAACACTAAGCAGTTAATTAGGCAGTTAATTCACCAGGATGTGTCAGCTAGATGGTCCCTGTTTACCGTTACCATTTGATACGGCCATAAACTGACACAGGGCATATTTTTGTAAGATATCGACAGAGCAGCTGGCATTATTATGCACCAAAAATTCGTCAGAACTATTTTTATCCCCAAAATATTATTATTCTCACATTTGGCTCTATTAGCGACCGCTGACGTGAACCATGCAATATTTTCTTCGCTTGGTAACTAATCACGAAAGTAGAAACAACGTAATCAAGATTTGTGCAGAATGAAAACAACTCGAACTTTACTTAAATGTCGTCGCGTAAAATATGTTGACATGCTAATTGTAAATTCACTTGAATGATGATAACTTCAGTTTAAACACGTTTCCATGTGAATGACGTACTCCAAGGTAAGCTGTAATGTTAACAACGTCGTTAAAGAAAACGCCGTTAGTTTGACAACGTAATGAAAAGAGGCCAGTAAAATTAAAAACGTTAAGAACACGCCGCCAGCTGATTACATACACAAATATCTTGTTAGCTTGATAACGCACTCTATTGTAAGCCGTTCGCTCAATTACGTCGACTGAAACCGGTAGCCAGCTTGAAAACATAAATAAGTGCAGCTAACACGGTTCATTACGTCATTTAAAACACACCGTTATCTTCATAACTTAACTTACGGTAAAGAAAACAGTGAATACACTTTTTAAAAGTAAAAGAAATATCACAATAAAATCCAGTGATAAATCTATCAATAAAATGTTAAAAGCTTTATATATGGACCGGGAATTTAAAGTCCTGAAATAGAAAAATAAAAAATAGAATCAGTCATGACAAGTTTAGGTTGGTAGTAGCTTTACGGAATTGTTTTACGTCCAGGTATTCCCAACAAAAAAGTGGCCTATGGCAATTTACACCACATTCACCATACATCATTATACTATCTTTATGACAGTAATTACATATTAAATCATAGTTGGGTGTATGTGAGTGGGTTTGCGGTAGTATGTGTGTGATACTAAATCGTAGAGCTAAGTTGTCTTATTTTGTGTCTTTTTTTTTAAATTCCATCTAAATTAGGTTCTCCGCGCCTCGATCCAAGATTGTTCACAGTCCGAAAGATGTTGTTGGCCACTCATGATAATCTAATTATGAATGCCATGTTTCTGTCAAACCCGGAACCCTCATCATTCACATGGACTTTCCAGTACTCCTCACATAATTCGTTTACTGAGCTAAACGACGGGACAGACAACTTTGTTATACATAATACACATTTTTCATCGAGCCTGTCAACCTTGTCAGTTGGGACACGTACGAACATAAAAGAGGCCTGGTTTGGAGTATATAACGTAACGGCAAGAAACAGTGAGGGCTACGGGACACTCACTTTCACAGTTGCTGATAAAGGTAAATTAATAATTTAAGCATAAAACCGGCATTTTTAGTAAATTCCAGTTGCTTGACCTTGTTTTTCTCTTGGCGTTTTCGTTGTGTGCTGATAGTGCATATAAGACCATATCTTGTGCAGGCGTATTATGTGATATGGGAAATCTTTCATATTCTTTATTTTAGATTTTATTTTTGAGATACATTATGTATGCTTTGAACAGGCGGTATCAATTTAATCAACACATGCAAACTGACATTGTAAAAGCAGTCCTGACGGCTAGGCTTTTTGTTTTTTGAGTAAATAGGTATTTACATAATCCAATCCTGATTTTGATCTGTTTGCGTATTGCGAAAACGTTTTTATAACCCGGGAAATCCTACTCACTGAGGTGTGAAACTGACATGTGTCATACACTGAAAAGCAATAGTCTGAACGCAATTTAAAAATTCAATATACAGTTTTGTTAAGATGACTGTCATATCACTGATGTACCTTTTGTAACAAATACTGATGAATATAAGCAAAGCAAAAGTCACAGACACCTAGCAAATACTATCTTCCTGTTCTGATACGTGGTACCCTGGGGGACCCCATTCTTGACAGTTTTACAGTCATTGTAGCATGTTCTGGATGCTTGGGATAACTACAGAATAAATAGATCAGTAATTTAATTCTTCCTTATTTTATACGAGTTTTCCGGTATTTTGTATAGTGTGTACTGCCCTACGGATCAAACGATGGTTAAAATGTTCAATTCTGAGCACGATTTGTGGAAGATAAGTGGATCGTGTGCGCACGGTATTGTTGGTACGATGTCAGAGACTCACAAGAACCTAACATATATCTCATGAGTTGGTTTTAAGCAACTGGAGTTTGTAAGAAAATAAGGTTCTGAGAGATACAGTTTAGAATATATGCACCTTCTATGTTTCATTCGCAATCTTATTAAATACATATGTCATGTACTAATATGGTATACGGGTCGGCGCTTTTTATTTTGTTCACCTTGTTGTTTCTTTGCCATTGTTCCAGGTCTTACTTAACAATTATTTGGCTTTGGCCTAGATTTACTAGGCACGTATCGTCGATGAAGCAGAAGGCGCTTACCTTACCGGAACAGAGTGTCTTATTCTTCTTTACTTTATAATTGTATCTTTATCATACAAATATTTGTACTTTTCATATTTTGCCATTATGCTATTACTGTTGAGTTCGAACGACTTAATTATATGCCACTTTTAAGTTGACTGTTTGATGACAACAGTTCACTTAATGAATCAGGTAAAAAAAAAATATCATATATTGATTGGTTTTTAAAAGAAATACATATTCTACCTTTTGCTTAATAAAGAATGCCCCTGCAGTACCGACAGCATGTATGTAACAGGAGTTACCCTGATTTGTACCAGTATTCTCACGCTCCTGTTAACAGTTGGACTTGGAATATTCATTAGTCGTACGTACATATTACTCAAATCTGTATTTGAAAAAAAAAATGAAAAGAAATTGCAAAATTCATATATGAGTTTTATCAACATTTTATATTGATCAATATTTTTCACTTGTTCTGTCTGATTATCTATATCACGGATTGAACATACTGAAGACAACTGAATAACTTAAATGTACGTTCGTTATCTGATAACGTTTAACAAGTATACACTACTTTTAACATCTACCTATGTTATTTTACAGGAAATGGTAGACTGCCTTGTATGTAAGTAAATGAATGCCGACACCAAATCGACATTATGTGTTTATTAATTATTTCGTCTTTTCGTAAATATCGTGCTTATATTAATGATAATGCAATTTTGTAAAAATCAGTTTAGTTTGAAAAGCGTGCTTACTTAAAATCATACTATGTTAAGAAAATCATGTTCCGAAATTTGATGGTACAGTTGTGTGACCGCACAACGCACCAACATTAGCGTGCGCATATCGTGCAAACATCGTGCACACACCGTCCGCAACTTTGTCCCCCCATGGTGCGCACAATTGTGCGATTTAACAATCGTTGTGCGTTTCGCAATTGGGTTCAATGGTTTGATCAATATAACGGAATGAAAGAAATTCGGAACCCTCATATGGAATAAGAAACACGGTATATAATAATTGCCCATCATAATAATAAGGATTTTGTTTAATTTTACAATGCGTGTTACACAGTAACCATTAGACTGTTTCAAGAATGGGTTTGGTTACTAGGAAACAGAACTGGTAAACAACATTTTGACTGGAGTTTTACCTGGCCAGTCTCTGAAAAAGAGAGCTACATATACAATATGTAATGCCGTAAGACCGTAATTTATAACACAACTGGACGTAAAGTATTTGTTATTTATATCTGTTTAATTTATAGCTCCAGTTCATCTTGATTCTAACACCTTAAGTAAGTGCCCCGGGTGGGGAAAACTACGTTCCAGGTACAGATACACAGCGGCTATGGTTACATGTACCTGGGGCCGTGTGTTATTTTACATATGTCGATTTGGGTCGTTTAATAAACGCCGTTTTTAAATTTAAGAAAAATACAGATCGAAAGATCAGCTAATATTTGTAGCTAGAATATAGAAATATACTTAAAAATCAAATTTATAGGTGTCAACACAAAACCGTATATATTGTTAAAGCATTTCTAAATGTACTCCAATCACGGTTGTCATCGCACAACGTTCGTTCATTATTAACACATGTGTGCAATCAATGATCGTCCACATCGCGAGCACACCGCACATTGTGTAACGTTGTGCGATTCCACAACTGTATATTGTGAAGTATTAGCTGTGAATTAAAAATATATAGTAATTTCGTATATTGTTTTCTAGCAAAGGTCAGCATCTGAAACAACGGGAATTTCAGAACGTGCAACTTTCAGAACGAGGTTAGTTCAGTGAAAAATGCTTGATATTTTGGTACACGTTGTGTAAGTGATCATGTCCAACATCAATAATTTCTTTTTTATATACAATTATTCATGTTGAGTAAATTTCGCAATATCGGTTAGGTTGTATACATTGAAATACAAAACAATTCAAACAATACCCAACTCTATATAACAATCGTTAATTTGTACAAAAGTGAAAAGGAATTTTGATTAAACTATTTATTTTTTTTGGATTCAGCTGTGACACCCAATGAAGAGGAAGACGAACGGTAATCGTGTTTGAACATTCAACACTTACTCAAAACAACATTTTAGCGTTATGGTTTGGTTTTATTTTATTCATAGTCCAATTAACAGCTCACTGAAAAACAATGCCGAATGCACCCAGTATAGCATTCCGTCCGGTCACATTGTAATGACAATGGGTGAACTACTTGATGCCATTTCCCCAAATGCTGAACGTTAAGCCGGGAATAACAGCTACCATTTTAAGGACTATGGTATTGTGACGTTTCCCAACATGGTCCGTACCAGTCACACTGAAGATTACGGCGCTATGTATCCAACAGCTCATTAACAGCGAAAACTCATCATTTTTTTCTTTTTTTCAAACAGTACACAATATACTAAAACATTACGGGCATTTACTGGAATCCCACCGTTGCCGCCAATTTATGTGACGTTTCCCCTATGGTCCGTATCAGTCACACTGAGTATATCTATCCCAAATGGGGTGCATCTATATTCTAGTATAGATGCCAATATATACAGATAAGTTAATCTAGCTCTGAAACATTGCCTATGTCCGAGCAATCACTGCTTGTGATCATGTACGTTTTGTACTAATAAATAC